CAGGTCATTGCAGGAACTCCTAAAATGTGCGTGCCTCTGGTGTTGCTTAACCCATTGCGGGGTGGATGGGCATCTGGTACCAGACTCCCTCTTCTCCACGGCTGCCGCATGGCATAACATGACAACCTTTTTAATTGTTTTCTGAGAGTGACTGTCACTGAAACAAGTGTCACAGGACAGTGAATGGCAGAAGAGTGGGCCCAAACCTCCCCTTTTCCACCCATTTAGTTTCTTGAGGGGGATAAGAAATGAATGTAAAGGTCTATTCTTTTTTTCATTCTCATGCATCACTCCACAATGTAATAGCCCCCTCACGCTTTGTCAGTCATAGTGCTCAATGTCACAGCTGAAATGCAGCTGCTTCTGGGGTGGAGGTGGCAATCGGCCAGCCCAGGACCTTGCAGCGGGGGTGCATGCAGGGGATACCGGATGAAGCAAGCTCCTGTGACCTCCTGAATGTCCCCAGTTAAACAGTGGTGTGTTCAGGCCCTGTGCAAAAGGGGAGCTGACAGCTCCTGGTGTTGGATGTAGCCCTCCGTGCCCTGCAGAAATTGGTTCATCAATGTGGGGGAGGTGGATTCTTGCCCAGGCAGAGAAGAAAGGACCCTGCCTTGGCCAAGGTTGCTCCACCAGCCACTGCCAGGACCTCGGGGCTGTTGAACCCAGGCATCCTGACCTCCGGTTTTGTGCCGTGACTGGCAGACATCGGCTCTTCCACTCCAGAAATGAGCTGCTCCCTTCTCCCCAGGGCCCTGGGCAGAGCCCCTGGTCCCATTGCAGGGCATGGGGTATGGGGGAAACTGAGGCAACCCTTCTACTGCATGCTCCTAGGGAAGGTCAAAGGTACCTGAGCCTGCTCCCAAGTGGGGCTTGTCCGTACGCCCCAGGGCTGGGGTCTCCTGGGCTGCTTTTGTGGGGAGCCCCTTAACCCCAGAAAGTGCCCCATGAGTGGGGGGGAGAGAAACCACAGGGCACTACAGCTTAGCGTCTACCCTTACATGCTCCACCCCTGTTGGGTTTTATTTGAGGGGGGTTGAAACCCACCTGATGCCAAGGTCCTTCTAAGGGCATTTATTTAAACTAAAGATCCACGATTGCCTGGCAAAAGGGAAAATGCCTCATTAAGACGTGAGGAGCTAGCTAACGATCACCCCAACTGTTGTGCAGCTGAGACATCCCCTCTGGACCAGCATGAAATCCCGGGGTCATTGAGAAAAAGGGATGCTTGAGAGCGAGACGGGAGCAGGGCTTCCGAAATACGGAAAAGCAAGGAGAAAATCGACAGGGATTTATTATTGACTGTCGCTGTGCGAGGACGGGGGGTCGGGAAATGCAAAGAGCAGGCCACACGTTGCAAAACGGGCAGGAGAAAAGGTCTGTTCCAGGCAGGTTGTCATTCAAGTGTGGGGCTCGTTGCTGCCGGATGTGGGGGGCAGCGCGGGGCGCAGCCACACTCGCTAAGGGATGGGACGTGTTCTTGGAGGACAGGGGCAGCGGTAGCTGTTGAGCAGGGGTGTTAGCGACCGGGCCTGGACCTTAAACACTGGAGCCTGCCAGTGGGAGAGGAGCAGGGAAGACCCTGGGCACACCCAGTTCACTTCCCCTTTCCACTGCCCTGGCACACGGGAGCCCGGGCCAGAGGGGCCTAGGGGCTGCCCCAGGCCCCAGCAGCACCTGGTTTTGTGTGCGCGTGTGTGTCCGGGACACCTGGGTCTGTGTGTGTGCATGTCCGTGTGTGCATGTCCATGTTCCAAACGCCTGGATTCTGTGTGTGTGCATGCCTGTTCGCGCACGCGGGTGTGTGTGTGAGCATGTCCTGGACACCTGGGTTCAGTGTGTATGTGTATGTGTGCGTGTGCCCTGGACACCTAGGTTGCATGAGTGTATAAGCATGTTCTGAATGTCTGAGTTTTGTGTGTGTATGTGTGTCAGAGATACCTGGGTTGCATGTGTGCTTGTGTACATAAGCATGTCCCAGACACCTGCGTTGTGTGTGTGTGTGTGTGTGTGTGTGTGTGTGTGTCCTGGATGCCTGGGTTTTGTGTGCGTGCGCGCGCGCGCGTGTGTGTAAAAGCATGTTCTGAATGTCTGGGTTTTGTGTGCATATGTGTCAGGGATACCTGAGGGGGTGTGTGTGTGTGTAAGCATGTCCCAGACACCTGTGTTCTGTGAGTGTGGGTGTTCTGGACACCAGGCTAGTGTGTGTGTATAAGCATGTTCCAAACACCTGGGTTTTGTGTGTGTGTGTGTGTGTGTGTGTGTCAGGGATACCTGAGGGGGGGGGTGTGTCTAAGCATGTCCCAGACACTTGGGTTCTGTGTGTGTGTGTGTGTGTGTGTGTGTGTGTGTGTCCTGGCCACCAGGCTTGCATGTGTGTATAAGTGTATAAGCATGTTCCAAACACCTGGGTTTTGTGTGCGTATGTGTCAGGGATACCTGGTGTGTGTGTGTAAGCATGCCTTAGACACCTGGGTTCTGTGTGAATGTGCATGTGTGCGTGTGTGTCCTGGACACTTAGGGTGCGTGTGTGTATAAGTGTATCAGCATGTTCTAAACATCTGGCTTTTGTGTGTGTGTGTGTGTGTGTGTGTATATGTCAGGGACACCGGGGTTGTATGTGTGTGCGTGTACATAAGCATGTCCCAGAACAAGCAGGTTGTGTGTGTGTGTGTGTGTGTGTGTGTGTGTCCCCTGGATGCCTGGGTTTTGTGTGCATGTGTGTGTGCAAAAGCCTGTTCTGACGCTGTGGGTTTCGCGTGCATGTGTGTGTCGGGCTGCCCGCCCGCGGTGCGCGTGTCGCGGGGCGGGGTGCGTGCCCGCTGTCCACCTGCGGGCGGTGCAGTTCCCGGGCCGGCCACCGGGTGGGGCCGCAGGGCAAAGAGTGA